CTGACACCAAGGGCTCAAGTAGAAAGCAGGTGTTGTGAGAATGATGATGGCAACATATGTACTAATGTGCTGGACACAAATGATGTCTGTACGGATTGTGAAGAGTTGTATGAGCCCCTAATAAAATGATTATTTAAAAGGGGGAATATGAAGTACTACTTTCATAGCATTTACATGGTATGGGGGAGCTTCAAAAAGTTGGTGGGAAAACAGAAAATGAAATTTTGCCACTAACTTTTTGAAGCCCCTTTGTGTTAAGTACCACAAGTAATGTGACATCAAATCAAACCCAAATTCATTGCCAAAGAGTCCATTCCAACTCATAGTGCCCCTTACAGAGGTTTTCGAGACTGTAAACCTTTACAAGAGCAGACGGCCTCATCTTTCCCTGCAGGGCAGCTGCTGGGTTTGAACCACCAAAGTTGGTGTTAGTAGCCCAGTGCCTGACTCACAGTGCCACCAAGGCTCCTTATAAGTGATCTAGAGATGACATAAGGTATACAGGAATATGTGTATAGGTGATATGTGGGTGAGTAAAAAAGTCTTGCTACTATAGTTCCAGTTCATACTTGCATAGGCTTATTCCAAACAAAATGTGTTTTAAACATGTCTCTGTCATCAGTGAATGGCTGCAGACACGTTCTCTCAGTAATACACTTGTCTTAATCTCCTTAGGGTGCCTTTGAAAGCACAAAACTCATGACATCGAGTCGATGCCTATTCACAGCAACCCTACAGGGCAGGGTAGAACTGCCCCTGTGAGTTTTGGAACCTGTAACTGTTGATGGGAGGAAAAAGCCCCTGTCTTTCTCTCACAGAGTGACCGGTGGTTTCGAACTACTAACCCTGCAGATCCCAGTCCAACCCATAACCACTACGCCACCAGGGCTCCCCTGCCTTCAAAAAAGGATTAGTCAAAACAGTGGCTTCTGCTGGGCCAGTTAAACTCAAGGCCGAGACAGTAGCTCAGGGGCTTATGGGACTGTTTTGGTGGGGATACTAACGGGGTCTTCTAGGTAAGATCTTCTCAAAAGACAGGGCAATCAGGGGGGCTTGTTAGGAAGAGGTGTGAAGAAAATTGAAAACTATTGGTAAAAAAAAGGGCAAGCCCTGTATAACCAAGAAAACATGTAGATTTTTAAAAATTGGTGTATGTATATTTGTGCGTTGTCAACAACAAATGAAAATATAATTTACACATATATATAATTTATTCTGAATAAACTTATGGCTGATCTTCAAAAAAAAGAAAAAGAAAAGAAAAAGGGCAGGAAAGATAGGCCGGATTTTTTCCCATTATACTCATTTTTTGAGGGCAGTAAAAGCTCTCCCATGAAAATTTCTTTAGGAAATGTTACCCCTTCTACCCTACAACCCTGATTTTGCCCCTTTCAGAACTCTTTTTGTCCTAAATCTCAAAGTACATTTAAAAGGAACCCAATTTGAGTCTCTTGAGGATGCTCCAACTGCCGCTTTGACATGATATAAATGGAAGCGTGAGGAAGTCTTCAAGGAAAAGCTACACAGATGGAAAAACCACTGGCAAAAGTGGATACACCTAGAGGGAGGAGCCGTGGGAAAACAGTTGCTTCGTATTTTGATATTTTTGCTCAATAAAAGCTGCTTTGATTTTGGAGCACTACTTTTTTACTTACCTCTTGTATGCAAATACTACGCCATCTCATCTAAGGGGGCTTCAATGTCCCAGGATTTTGGTATTCCCAGGGGGCCTAGAAGCAATCTCTAGTAAATGAGAAGGGACTTGTGACTGTGCCACATTCATGATATGCAGATTTTCATCCAAAGAGGATTCCTCCATGCCCAATTTGTGTTTCCCTGAAGTCTCCTGGATTGTATATGCACAGACCAATATGTGGAGTGGCCTTTATTAGGTTATTTTTCTATTCCCTCACCCTAGATCCAGCCATGTGCTTAACTTAGAAATATAGAAATATATAACCTAATAATGGCCTCTCCACATAGCAGTGCATATGTGTTTGTACAAATATGTATATGTACGTATATGCTGTCGTTTTGTTGTTAAACACTGCCAAGTTGATTCCAATTCATAGAAGCCCTAAGGGCCAGGGCAGAACTGCCCCACAGGGTTCTCTATGTTGTAATCTTTATGCAAACAGGTCACCAGGTCTTTCTCCCATGGAGCTAATGGGTGGGTTTCAAACCACCAAATTTTTGAGCATATAACCATTGTGCTTCCAGGACTCCTTAATAGATAGGTCACAGAATTTCAAAACCCTCGCCCCTGACTCAACTGGCTGTCAGTTTCTTAAGTCCCTCAAGGTGAGAAAGACTATTTGCTCGGTCTTTCCCAGTCCCCTCCCATTAGTGTCTAGGCACATGGTATGGATGCTAGGAACTATTCTTGCTAAATTATTGAACTCCAATCTATGCCACACAGAGATGGAGGATGCCAATGGGAAAAAAAGGATTAGAGCAGGGGATTCCTTTTCTTTCCCTTTCTCTTCTTTCTGCCCACAAAATCGCTGGGATCACCTAAAATGGACCGGGAGCAAACAATGGTCAAATATGCTTCCAATGAGCTGAGTATGGTTTAGTCACAGCTCATTTCAAAACTCGCTGGGGGAGAAGGCAAGCAGAGAAGATAAGGCATTTCCAAAGTCAAACAGATTCTTCATTTGGGAACTGAGCTACTGTTTTAGATTGGCCTGCCATCCTTCTCTCCCACCAATGGCTCAGCAGAAGCCGCTGCCATCCAACTTTGCTGCCCAGAAGGGAATCTAGTAGACATGTCATTTCTCCCTGCTCCCAAGTTTGGTTTGAGTGCGCCCAAGCAATTTTAGATAATATGACTCTCTCCCATTCAACTGTTCAACAAATGCTAGTCATAGAACTAGACCAGCTAGCTACCAGCTTTTGTAGTGCGTCCAGATGTCACAGACAGTTGATAAGCCCAGCCAGTCATAAACACACCAACCCTACTCAGAAAGCAATGATTTCAAAAATGGTTCATCCAAGTAACTCAATTGGGGTAATTTTTAAAGTAGGAACCAAAATTCCATCCAAACCCCCAAGTTCCAATGGGATAGACCTTCTCCAGTTCCTGCCACGGAATACCAAGCACAACTGTTAAGAAGCTGCCACTTCCACCTCAAAGGTGGATGCAATCGTGCAGCAAGATAAGCCCAGCTCTTTCTTCCTACCACAGTGGAGATACCAAATAAGTACTGATACAACAGGAATGGGGAGAAAGTGCACAGACAATAACCAGGGAGGGAGCCTCAGGAGCTATTGAGAGCTTTCAGTCAGCCATCAAACTGACCAGAACATAATATACAAGGTAACTATCACAAAACACAAGGTTGAATAAAAACATTCTGATTGTAATAATAATGTGGTACTTGTTAGTTGCTGGGGGGGTCCATTCTGACTCAAGGCGGCGGCGGCAGTGTTAGAAAACAGAGCTATTCCAGAGGGTTTCCTGGCTGTCGAGTAACCAGAAGATGATTTTGCTGGATGGGTTTGAACTGCCAACCTTTCAGGGAGCACAAGCCATTTGGCTAGGTGCTGTTTCTTGGGCACCTACTATGTGCTTGGGGCTCCACTTGTATCAAGATTTAATACCCATTAAACCCATCCAGCTGCTCTGCAGAAGAAAGGCCTGGTGATCTACTTCCACAAAAATTACAGCCAAAAAACCTCTATGGGATAGCTCTACAGGGTCACTACGAGTCAAAACAGACTCGCACGCTGGCACTCAACCCCAAGGACAACTATGAGCTTGGCACTATCCATAAATGATTGTGTGGACACTGCAGAACCCCAAGAGACTTCTATCATCTCCATTTCAGAGATGAGTAAACTGAGGCACAAGAAAGTTAAGTGACTTGCCTCATGCTACACAGCTAGGGGGCAGAAAATTGAGGACTCTAGCCTATGATCAGGTATCTCTACAACAGTCCAAGTGGCTCTGATGCATTCTACAGTTGGGCAGTACTACAAGATACTGACCTGTCCATGGTACAACTAAGTCAACCGGAGTAAAGCCCGGTCATAATAGAACACCTACCTAATCATCTCAGGCACCGAGACAGGAACATAGAAAAGCTATACTGTTCTCCTTGGCCCCTGACACCAGCACTATAGCAAAACTCAACTGTACCCTTAAATGGCACAAGCACGATGATTTCTACACATACCTTAGCGATGAGGTAGCCAAATTTTGTTTCTTAGCCGGCAGTGGGTCGAGAAGCCAAAACACAAAGCTTTGCCTGCTCCTCAGTACTCTTCACACATGCTTAACTAAGGTCTTCTGAAGAGCCAAATGAAGACATATCCTGCCTCTTATACTTGGGTGTGAGTTTCTGAAAAGACATTTTACAAATAATACATCATCTCTTCAGATTTATCACAATTCAATGACCAGGGAAAATATGACCTTGACATACAGCCTTGCAGCTGCTTTTTAAAAACAGTACCCACTTTTTAATGTTTTATGGGGAAAGGGTAGTTTCTGCCTTAGAGAAAGAAAAAGAGACCAATTGGAGTATTTGAATTATGAGGCTAGAAACACAAGAGTGAAATTTCAACTTCAGTTCACCAAGGCAAGTTTTCATCCAAAAAGACTGAGTTTAAATTATGAGCCCTGGGAAAGGGTCACAGCTGGAAAGGGACTTGTTGGAAAGAGGACAAACTCTACAATAGCTTAGAGATGGTCATTCAAAATAGGCATGAATAAAACTTAGTTAACAGATGAGGTTATATAAAATACATCCTTATGGCCACAAGGTAGACTATAACCTTCCTTTTTGGCCATCTTCACAAACATTCTGGCAAGCATCATTTCAAACCTAATTTGAACTCCAGCATAGAAAATGTCTTTTTGGAAACCACTAAGGTCTACTGGGGTCTTCCCTGCCCATACACAATCATCTGTGGCTTCCTTCACCACCTCTTCACATCTATTTTATCCTACCAACTTCTAATTTCCCAGAATGCTTTGTGCTCTACTCTAGTCACCCACCATAACCTCCTTCTCTCTGAATCCTGAATGCTGATTGGCCCTGGGAAACAGCTCCTCCCTGTAGCTGCTGTTCCATCCCACTCAAAGCTTAGCCTAGTAGAATTAATGCACCCCATGGCTTGATTTTAGATGTCGTCTTGTTGACCTTCTGATTAGAGCCCTTTCCAGGCTCCCATCACACTTGCCAATCCTGGCTTAAGACCCCCATGCCACACACTACTCTTCTTTATCCTGTTTTGCTCTGGACTTCCCACACCACTCCCTTTGTCCTATCTTGGATCTCTCTCCCATTTGCACACGGGCAAAACTGGTGCATTCCCACCTTCTCCTTCTTTAGGGACAGCAGGGCCCTTCCCCATCTGGTAGCCTTAACTTTCATTTAGATTTTCCAGTGCAGGCTTAATCCCAGATCTGTGCTAACTTCTGCTTCCTTGCTTCTACCGAAGGCAAGTTTTCCCTTCTACAGCAGCAGCTCCAAATGTAAAATGTATTTGAGTAAAATGTCTTCAGTCCTTGGCTTTTTCATTCTCTCTCACTTTTTTTAACCTGTAAGTTCTAATGGGTACATATAGTTCTATTTCTTCCTAAGTGCCAGTTTCTTTCCAACCCTATTTTTACCCAAGCTCTGCTTTATCTCTTGCTCCCTTCCTTAGTGATTCTAACTCCAAAGTGTAACAAAACAAAGTTCCTTCAAACTTCACTTTGTAAAACATTATCCTAAAGATCTCAAAGTTCTATTTCTTCCTTACTTGGTCCCAACACAGGCCCGTGATTGCCCACCTTTCCTCTCCATCACTGCTCAGCCAGCTCTCTTCCTGACTTCTCTCTCTACTTTCGTTCTAGTACTCAAGTCATTTCCTCCCATAATTCTGTTCCCCCAAGAGAAGCCCATCTAGATCAAGGATGTGAGGAGCCGCTCTGCCACCCATATTCAACATTTCTCCCTCCCTCCTCTTCGGTGAGTTCATATGAGTCCCTGAATGGCCCAAATGGCCAAGGATTCAACTATGAGCCAACCTACTCAGAGGTGCCTCTGAAGACAGACCTGGAGATGTGCTTCTGCAAAGGGCTTGCCCATGCAGAATCCTCTGCAGCGCAGTTTTATGCTGACACCCATGGTGTGTCCATGAATGGCAATCAACACCAGTTCCATGAATCACATTATGAATCAAGCAAAGAAACACCTGGAGGGACCTTTTAGCCTCTAGAGAAAGTCCCATGCCATGGAGCAAGAAATGGCTCTTTCCCTTCTTCCCCTCCCCTTTCCTGGCAAATCAAAATGACCAGATCCACATGTGTGCCTTTGGTGCAGCTGTCATTGTCTTCTGCAACTGCCCCTCAACTCTGCCCAATTCAGACTCCAACAGCAGCGCTTCTGAGGCCTTTAGCTTTCCTCTGCCCCATCTCAACCATTTGCCTTCCCTTCCTTCTCGGCATATTCGAAAGAGCTAGTCCTCTTAACCCAAACATTAGCCACCACCTACCAACCTACCTACTTACACACACACCTTTCCTCCACCAACAGCTTACTGAATCTAATTCTTCTATTTATAAGGCTCTGTGCCCCTCATCCCCACACTCACCCCAAGGGCAGCTGCCTCAGTTGCCCTATCAAAGAATGGGTCTGCCTGTCCACAGTCATAAGACTTAATCAAGATGGCCATGTTCCCCCTAAAGTCTGTCAACCTGCCAAGTCTCCAAACATGACTCAACGAACCCCTCTGCTCCTCCTAGCTCCCCAAGTCTTTCCTACTAATCTCGAGTCTCCATCACAATTTTCTAGGTTCTTCTCCAACCTTTTGCTCTCCTTTAGAGATCCTGGGTGGTTCTTAGGATTGTTACCCCACTTGATACCCGGTAGAACCCTTCAAGTTCCCTTTCTACATTCCTTCATCTTCAGAACTACATGGTAATCTTATCTTCCAATGTGAGCACCCCTAAACCCCCAAACATCATCCGTTATGCTACCTGTCATCACCCCATGACAAACATTCCTCAGTTCCAACATTCAAGGAAAGGACAAACAGAACTAGATGGCCTTTAAAGTCTCTCCCAAGCCTGGAATTTTCTTATCTACCTAATGCACTCCCAACCCCAAATGCACCCCTTGTTCACTTCCCCATAGAAACATCTCCCCTGCCTGCCTTTGAAGAATTGCTCCCGAAGTTGAAAAGAGCCATTGAGCTAGTCCAGTGGAACCATGACTCACAACTACACCCCCAGAAGTAGCACCATGGCTTTCTACAACTGTCCTCCACCTCTATGCCACCGAGAGCCCCCCTCCCCCAGCCAAAACTGCCTTGAGGATCGGGCTGTGTCACAAAGTTACCAGGGCCCCCCTCCCACATTCCTGGAAAGAGTCCCTAAACCCCAGGACTTGAGGAAGTCTCGTCAAGGGACAGCTGTCCTTGTAGACGCTAGGAAACACCAGGAATGAGTAAGTCCCACCATGTCCACAGTTTCTAACAGCCACCACTGAACATTTCAAAACAATAAAACAAAACAACAACAAAAAAGGAGAGTGCTTCTACTGGGGCAAGAGAAGGGACGACAGAACCAAAGAGCCCCCCCCCCAATCGCCTGTGCTGCCACTCCCCCCGGTTGGCTGCAGGCTGGCCTCCTGCTTTGCCCCTAGACCACACCATGATCTGCCGAACCTCCTTAACTCGAAATCCCCAAGCTGAGGTGCGGCCGGCTCCTCCCAGTCTTACCCCGGACGTCCCTCTGGCCCAGCCTTCCTCTTGGCGGGACCTCGCCAAAGACGGCCCTTCGGCGCCCAGCTCACCTCCCTGGTCCTCCCCAGGCCCCCCTGCAGGGATCCGTCCAAAAGCAGAACCTCGAGGCACAGAGTCCACGAGGCCCGTCGCCGGACCCACCTCCCTTCCTTCTACCAGCACCTTGTCCTCCATGCACCCGGCCCCCGGGGCTCCTCGTTGTCGTCGTCCGGGCTCGCACCG